CCCCCCCTCCCAAAAGGGATAGCGCAGTCCGCAAAAGAGGTATAATACGCATCTTGTTATAGGACTTCGCTTCACTAATGTGTACATACGTTTGAAGGCAAGGAGCCCAGCGCAGTGCACTTAGTACTCACAAACCGGCAAACGCCTCCACACACTGTGAACCTGTGAACATGTCTCCAAGCCCATGAGAAGGTTTTCATACTGACGATTTTACCGCTGGTCCCGATTCAACCCAACTACGCTCTGCTAGAGCTTTCCTCGGTTACATCCGACACAGGGAGACAGATGACAATACCTAAAACACACACATCCTAGAATAAAATGTCCACATAATTCCATATAATACAATTTCCACAACACTATGCCTACCTGATCTGCAGTCCCGTTTTGTGCATTGTGTGTTGCAATAAAATGATGTAGGCATACATTTAATCTCAATGCAACATACTACTCACTGCAAAGTATCCCAATGCTTTTCCATGCGCTGCCCTACAAGGTTGAAGTAATGTTTTTTTTAAAAGTTAAAAAATAAAAATCAAGATGCACCGCAGCACACCTGCATAACTAACGCACACCACAATATGGTGCACACTTTTGCATGCAGCCACCACCCAGCAGGGAGCAGAGTTGCGGCAGCAGGAGGGGTGGAGATTTACAATGGATAGCGGTTATCCCCAACTTGTCAGTTGCTGATCACAGCTGTTCATTTGCAAACCGAAGTCAGGGGGACCCTTCTGCTATAAGCATATGGTCGCTGAAGCAACCATGAGCTTATAGCAGAAGGGTAAATGTAGCCAATGTAAACCAAGTTTTTGTTCCGCCATATGCCTAACGTCTGTGGCAGGGAAAGAGTTAAAGCATACCTAAACCCAAAAACAAAAATGTAATACACTGCAGCTTACCAGTCCTTAGATGTTTAGATCCTTAGATTTAATAGAAAAATTAAGAAAGGAGGGGCATAGTACCCATCAATGCCCTATTCAAACAAATTGTACAATATAATTCCCTATATCATAATGAAATATAATATTAAACAAATTAATAAATTACACAAACCACATAAATATCAAAATAATCCATAAAAATCCCATAGAAAAGGGACAACATATCAAATATCAAAAAACATAGCTAGATTGATATAATGTACTATTTCGTAGATGAATGACAATGCCAGCAGACAATGATATCAGGTATATAAATCCATCAGAAAAATTGCAGCAAATGTGAGTGTATCCCAATCCTCAAGGGTAGTCCCACATGGGGGAGCTCCAAACCTGTCCATATGAGAGTGTATAACGCTTTTTATATATATCAGCAAAGTTAAGATGACTGCATGGAACATATAGACATCGCAACTTTACCATGCTGGATTGGATGTAGATCAGTACATCTTGGGGGACGGGATCCACCACGTCCTCTGTTCTACCTCTGTGTACAGCTGCCAATGGTATATAGCTAATTATACAAACATCCTGCATGTTGTCCAATATGCCAATATTTAATATGAGCTAAACAAATCTGAATGGAACAGTCTCACCATATTCATATGCAGCTCCCAAAGTTCCGTGGGTCAAAAGGCTTTGGGAGCTGCATATGAATATGGTAAGACCGTTCCTTAGATTTAAGTTTTAGTTTTTTTCAGACTATGGTTTACTTTACTTTCACCTGGTAATCCTGCCAATAACAAACCTTGGTGGCTAACATTGTTTTATGCTTCCAGTTTATGTCTGCGTACATTCAAAAGAGGTTTGGGAGTAGGCAGGTATAAATGTTTATTGCATAAGAGACAAAGTATGTCTTTTCTGCAATAAAAAAAAGCCTGCCTGCTGGCAGTTCAGATTCATTTTGATTCTGTTAGTGGCTTTATTTCTTGTTAAATATATTACCCTTCTCTACCTGTGTTGAAACGTTAAACATTAGAAAAACTTTGTTTTGTACATTCTTATTTTTCACAATAAAGTACTGTATCTGTTAAAAAAAATAAAATATTACCCATTGCTTGAGTTGCCTGTAATTTTAGAAAAAGGATGATTTCCACGTCCAAGATCATCTTCACCTTCATCTACTACTAAAGAACGTCCAATAACATCCCAAACCTGAAATAAAGAGAAATTTAATGATAAGGATTTCTATTGCTTATACAGTACAAACTGTTCTAGCGGAGTAAGAAAATGTATGGGACAAATTTGATCTGAGAGTTAAAGCTGGTCTACAGAACAATATACCATTTAATACAGTTATGTATATATTAAAAAAAAGGAAACACATTTTTGAATGCACCAAATGCTGCCATAACAACACAGGTGCCAGATACTGTTTTATAGCCATCACACATGAGTATGGAAGTGAGCAACAGGTTTTTCCATCCCCCTGACCCCAGCAGCTTCAGTAGTAAATTCAAGTAGTAAATAAAGAGAGCTGCTGAGGTGCCACCATCACACAATGTAGAGCTGCAATAACTAATCGATTTAATTGTTTATAATCGAAAATGAGAAGTGTCAACTGTTAGTTGATTGTCGATTAGTTGTTTAATGGGCTCTGTGTCCCCTCTGATCTCCGCTGCTCCCATCTGGGATGGGAGGCACTACAAACCCCTGCAGCCTGTGCTCAGCAGTGACATTTTGTCCAATTTTGGTGTGTTATTTTAAATAAACGTTTAGTTATTTTATTATATTGACTTGGAGTTTTTCAATTAAGATTATTTTAAATCCATGAAACTAATTAAAATATCTAATATCATACAAACAGTTATTACAAAAAAAAATCTGTTGCGGGAAGTGCGTTGTGGTGCCCTTCATTTCAGTATCACCACCAACGCGCCTCCCGCTCACAGTGTGATCTCCTGCACTGGAACGAGCAGTACAGCAATGCCATGCATTCCAGTGCGATTACAAAAAGTGTGCATGCAGTTTTAATTCTGAAGTAAACTTTATGTTTGGAACACTCCATTTGTGTATTTGATTTTAAATATAAGATGGTATTTTTTGTAATCAAAAAAATAATCGGCCATCTAATTGATTATGAAAATAATCGTTAGTTGCAGCCCTAACACAATCCAAAACAAATGTCTTACCAATTATCTCAATTAGCCCCTGAGGCTATCAGAGATCCAAATCAGAGCAAAATTGAGCCTTCAAGTACTGATGCGAAGTATAGGTAATTCTGGGCCTAACTTTTAAAGGTCTTATTCCCATATATTATAGATCTCTATAAAGAACACCTCAGCACAGAAATGTATGAAATTCTTTAACCACTTGAAGACCAGGGTGTTTCACCCCCTTCCTGGCCAGGCCATTTTTCAGTATTCAGCGCTGTTGTACTTTGACTGACATTTATTCCGTCATGCAACGCCACACAAAACTACTTTATTTTATTTACACACTAACAAATGAAAGAAGGAAAAACATTAAAACCCTCACAGGACCCTGTGCCCAGTATTAATTAGTTCAAGAAAATATATACAGAAAATTCTTGAAATAGTGACACTCTCAGTATTTCCTATTGATAAAAACATTAGCCAAACATTGATTCTTAAAAATAGACTGTTTAAGATCCTGAATAATCCTCCTCTCATAGGAGCTAATTATTCATCATATTTTCGAAGATAGAATCCATTCTCAACAAAATTGTTGCATCGTTGAGCTGTATATACAGTATATCCACAGAATAATCTGAATATCATTTCACATGAACCATAGGAATAGAGTAATAGCCCATTTAAACAGCCCCAAAGAGTACTGTAATTGTCAAACTGTACCCACGCAGACAAAACGCATTTGACAACAGCATGGCGTCTGCTACAGTGCCTTGCTAGTGGTGTACCCCTAATTTTATTTGAGGCAGTTTGGTATTAAGGTGTCCAACCACGATGTGATCATCAAAAGATTGGGGATACTTAATTTGATGCTTTGTAGAGTGAATCAACCTACACACTGAGAAGCATCAAATCACTTTAGTGATGGCTCATAGAGGGTCTGGATCAGGTTGACATGGTTTTCATTGAGAGACTGATCTAAAATATTGTATTTTTTTTGGCATTTATGTGCTATAGTTTTTCATCTATATATACTGTGGACCATTTGGCTATGTTGCTATAAATGTATAAACTCAGCATAGACTTGATAATTCCAGTAAATGGGGTACCACCCTATTCTTATATTTCATATGTAATGATACTCTGCCAATACTGTGGATATTTATACAGTTTGATGAGTTAGTTAGTGTAAGGACTTACCTTAAATCATGCCTCTTAATCACATCATCATCTTCTTTAGTGTAGTTTTCAGATGTCCCTCCAGGGCCGGTGCGGGTCTGCGATCCAGCACTGACTCCTCTGATGTCCCACGGAGTCTGTGCGGGCGCACGCTGCTCCATAGATTTACCTTGTGTCTCTCATCGTCTCCCGGCTGAACATCTGAACTGCGCATGCACCCGCCCCAAGATCCTTTGCGGCCGCCTGAGACTCTTCAGATGTTAGGACGGGAGTGTGCGGCAAAAGACACAGGTAAGTTTAAACCTGTTTGAAAACGTGTTTTTTGTTTTTTTTTACGTTTTTGCATATATCTACTGCTTGCTAGCAGTAGATATATACAAAAACACACTAATAACCCTTTAAGGTTTCTTGGCTGTCGCTTGGCAACTCGAAGTTTCAGCTCCCTCCATAAATTTTCTATAGGATTAAGGTCTGGAGACTGACTAGGCCACTCCATGACCTTAACGTGCTTCTTCTTGAGCCACTGCTTTGTTGCCTTGGTGGTATGTTTTGGGTCATTGTCATGCTGAAAGACCCATCCACGACCCATCTTCAGTGTTCTGGCTGAGGGAAGGAGGTTCTCAGCCAAGATTTTACAATATATGGCCCCGTCCATTGGCCCCTCAATGCGGCAAGGTCGGCATGTACCTTTAGCAGAGAAACAGCCCCAAAGCATAATGTTTCCACCTCCATGCTTGACTGTAGGGATGGTGTTCTTAGGGTCATAGTCAGCATTTTTCTTCCTCCAAACACGGCGAGTCGAGTTAATGGCAAAGAGCTCAATTTTGGTCTCATCTGACCGCAGCACTTTCTCCCAATCGTTCTCTGAATCATTTAGATGTTCATTGGCAAACTTCAGACAGGCCTGTACATGTGCCTTCTTGAGGAGGACCTTACGGGCGCTGCGGGATCTTAATCCATGGCGATGTATCGTGTTACCAATGTTTTGTTTGGTGACTGTGGTTCCAACTGCCTTGAGATCATTGAAAAGCTCCCAACCATGTAGTTCTGGGCTGATCCCTCACTTTTCTCCTGAGGCAAAATCTTGCATTGAGCTCCAGACCGAGGGCGATTGATGGTTATTTTGTATTTCTTACATTTGCGAATAATCGATCCAACAGTTGTTTCCTTCTCACCAAGCTTCTTGCTGATAGTCTTGTAGCCCATTCCAGTCTTGTGCAGTTCTACAACCTTGTCCCTAACGTCCTTTGACATCTCTTTGGTCTTGCCCATGGTGGTGAGGTTTGAATGGAAGAAAAAGATTCTGTGGATAGGGGTCTTTTATATACATAACGAGTTGTCGTTAGGAGCACCTTCTTAAATTGACAGGACTAATCTGTGTACCACATAGCCAGTCTGTGGGAGCCAGAATTATTGTTGGTTGGTAAGGGATCAAATACTTAATTTTACTCACTGAACTGCAACTCAATTTATAACATTTGTATCATGTGTTTTCTCTTTATTTTTGGTTGATATTCTGTCTCTATCAAATTAAAATACACCCATGATAAAAATAATATAAAACAGAAGTCATCAACTTGCGCAACTAGATCGATTGTTTATGGACCATTTATTGATAGTATCAAAGGAGCTCCAGTTATACTGGTAATTAATCCAGAGAAGATGTGTGCACTGGTCCTGCAGCCTGGTTAGTTGGATAGGGAAACATCCATGTAACAGCACTGTTGAAGAAAACATAAAAACCAGCCACAACCGTGCTCAGCCACTGGATCAGACCTGTGTCTTCCAGCACAGGTGTTCTGGAATCTTTCTGGAATCTGAACTGCGCATGCACCCGCCCCAAGATCCTTTGCGGCCGCCTGAGACTCTTCAGATGTTAGGACGGGAGTGTGCGGCAAAAGACACAGGTAAGTTTAAACCTGTTTGAAAACGTGTTTTTTGTTTTTTTTTACGTTTTTGCATATATCTACTGCTTGCTAGCAGTAGATATATACAAAAACACACTAATAACCCTTTAAGGTTTCTTGGCTGTCGCTTGGCAACTCGAAGTTTCAGCTCCCTCCATAAATTTTCTATAGGATTAAGGTCTGGAGACTGACTAGGCCACTCCATGACCTTAACGTGCTTCTTCTTGAGCCACTGCTTTGTTGCCTTGGTGGTATGTTTTGGGTCATTGTCATGCTGAAAGACCCATCCACGACCCATCTTCAGTGTTCTGGCTGAGGGAAGGAGGTTCTCAGCCAAGATTTTACAATATATGGCCCCGTCCATTGGCCCCTCAATGCGGCAAGGTCGGCATGTACCTTTAGCAGAGAAACAGCCCCAAAGCATAATGTTTCCACCTCCATGCTTGACTGTAGGGATGGTGTTCTTAGGGTCATAGTCAGCATTTTTCTTCCTCCAAACACGGCGAGTCGAGTTAATGGCAAAGAGCTCAATTTTGGTCTCATCTGACCGCAGCACTTTCTCCCAATCGTTCTCTGAATCATTTAGATGTTCATTGGCAAACTTCAGACAGGCCTGTACATGTGCCTTCTTGAGGAGGACCTTACGGGCGCTGCGGGATCTTAATCCATGGCGATGTATCGTGTTACCAATGTTTTGTTTGGTGACTGTGGTTCCAACTGCCTTGAGATCATTGAAAAGCTCCCAACCATGTAGTTCTGGGCTGATCCCTCACTTTTCTCCTGAGGCAAAATCTTGCATTGAGCTCCAGACCGAGGGCGATTGATGGTTATTTTGTATTTCTTACATTTGCGAATAATCGATCCAACAGTTGTTTCCTTCTCACCAAGCTTCTTGCTGATAGTCTTGTAGCCCATTCCAGTCTTGTGCAGTTCTACAACCTTGTCCCTAACGTCCTTTGACATCTCTTTGGTCTTGCCCATGGTGGTGAGGTTTGAATGGAAGAAAAAGATTCTGTGGATAGGGGTCTTTTATATACATAACGAGTTGTCGTTAGGAGCACCTTCTTAAATTGACAGGACTAATCTGTGTACCACATAGCCAGTCTGTGGGAGCCAGAATTATTGTTGGTTGGTAAGGGATCAAATACTTAATTTTACTCACTGAACTGCAACTCAATTTATAACATTTGTATCATGTGTTTTCTCTTTATTTTTGGTTGATATTCTGTCTCTATCAAATTAAAATACACCCATGATAAAAATAATATAAAACAGAAGTCATCAACTTGCGCAACTAGATCGATTGTTTATGGACCATTTATTGATAGTATCAAAGGAGCTCCAGTTATACTGGTAATTAATCCAGAGAAGATGTGTGCACTGGTCCTGCAGCCTGGTTAGTTGGATAGGGAAACATCCATGTAACAGCACTGTTGAAGAAAACATAAAAACCAGCCACAACCGTGCTCAGCCACTGGATCAGACCTGTGTCTTCCAGCACAGGTGTTCTGGAATCTTTCTGGACTAAACTGTACTCTGCTCTCTCCATATCCTGATAACAATCTTGGACCAGCAGCTGAGATGGGACTTTCATCTGACAGGCGAGATGTTTTTTTAATATCCTGTAAGTGCATTACTTTTAACCTTATTAAACAATCACTTTTATACTGCACTTAGATCTGTGATCTTTTTTATGTTTTCTTCACAGTGATGATAAAAATGATAGACCTTTCATTTCTTTGTAAGTGGGAAAACTTACAAAATCTGCAGGGGATCAAATAAATATTTTCCTCACTGTATATCAAATAATTAGCTTGTACAGGACAAAGAATCCTTGAAAAATCCAGCTTCTATTTTGGTCTAAAATTTTATAGATTTTTGGTCTAATTTTCTATCAATAAGAGATACGGCGTTTCATTTTCTAAACGCCAGCACAGCAGTGATCTGGTAATTAACCTCTTGCAGTCCCTGTATAGGTAAAATCTAAAGCTAGAGTATGGGAAAATCAGCTAATGTGCTGGCAAGGAGCATGGGAAGAGTAAGCAGGGTGACAAAGAGATTAGCTCATTACTGGGCTGCTTCTCCTTTCACTGTCCAGTCAAAGAGTGGGAAGGTTTCAGGATGACCTAGGTTCAGAGGAGGTTGTTTGAATGATGTTGACATTTCTGGATTGAAGTCAGGCACCCCGGGGTGTCTGGTTTTTAGGCATTGTTATTTTTTAAATGAAAGATGATTTTTTCAAATACTGTCTAGGCAGCTTGCCAGTCACTATACATTCCGCTGCCGAAATGAACAGTAATCACTGCTTACAGATCACTGGGAGCTAAAATTATATTCACAGAACAATGTATGTTCCTCCTTTTGGGAATTTACCATTAACTGCATTCCAAAAACAGCACCAGATACACCAGTCATTGCTGCAGCAGTTCTGTAATCCATTAATATGCATTTTCCAAAAACAGAACTGCTCAGCTTAAGATTTGACTATGTTGTAAAGATTTGTTAGAGGATAATACAGCTCTGCATTAGTACTTAAACATAGGACTAGAATACCACAAAGACTCATTGATGAAGTACAGACAAAAAGTGGCGTATTTAAACAAATCTTTGAAGACTTTATGCGAGATTAAAATATGGATAAAACATCCAAGATTCTTACCTTTACCCTTTCATTTTCAAGTCTAAATGCTGCTCTCCCATCATCACTAGCTAAAATATTGCCCAAATCTCCAACATGCTAAAAAGGAAATGACAACATTTATAACCAAATGGAAGCTGCAACCGAATACTACAAGACTATACTGTAATAAAAATTCTCAAGTGCTGAAAAAAAGGCTGAACTCCAGAAAGCTTAAAATTTTTTTAACAAATGTAGGTGGCCTCCTACCTCTAATATATACAGGATATGTTTGTTTAGTCTACGGGGCTCCAATAGAGAGGATTAAATGCCTTACTACACAGTCCTGTAGGCTTCCTCCTCGCCTTTCCCGGTATTGATGACCAGTGCTCAATGACATGCCTCTTCTCCGGTTGCATTGTCTTCCCTCTGGCCAACATCATCATGTACAATGCATGACCAGTGCTACCACTGATCCTAGATTGCACATGATGAGTTAGAGGTTCCACCCACATTCTGAGGAAGGAGCAAAGAAGACAGGAGTGACGGCTCCTGCAGGACTCTGAAGTAAGGTATTTAATTTTTTTTAAGCTGACCAGAATTCGGCTTTAACATGTCTAGTTTTACAGGGCTCATGCGCACAGCCATTTTTATTAACCTCTCATAAATATTTTTAATTAGAAGATATACCGTTAAATGCTGCATTTCTTGTGAATTAATATACATGCTCCAACATGTGTCAACATGCAATTTCATGCGTCATACTGTGTCAATGTAGTTTCCAAGAGCCACCTGCACTCCTTGCAGTCTTACAACCTCACAATATTAGTGAAGCTTGTGGTGATCGCACAGATGGCGCCGTGCAAAAATCCAAGTAATTGCAGTGAATCACCAGCACACACAAAATGCAGTTTCAATTCTTCTTTGATATGTTTATTAAAGAATGTCACATCATGTCATCAGAGGCCAATGTTTCGGGACCTCGCAGGGGCCATTCATCAGAGCGACATAGTGACAACATATACAAGTGAACACCAAGTATATATTCACATCAGACCAGATGCATGAAAAAACGTCTCATGATGTCATAATGACATAATCTCCTGCCAGAATTCAAATATATACAAATCAAAAATAGTATAAAAAGAACAAACATATGAAAGAAGAACCTATATCCCATAATGGCATTGTGTAAACATCCAAATTCATGTAGAAAACCTATACATCCGAGATTAAAAATCTAATTTGTATGAACAAAGAACTGCCCATTACACCGGGTGGCAAGTATCCCCTGTTGTCATGGAGACGCATGTATCGTGGAGAGCAGGGTGAAGCGGTCAGTGCGATCCTGGACGGGATTCAGAGAGAGACAGCGCATGCGCAGGAGGTGGCAGACCCGCCTTCAGAGTCTCCATGTTGCTAGGCAGCGGTCAGAACGGTGACACAAAGCTGTCAGATGCAGCCGCTGTGGCTCAAGCTAAACATGACAGGAAAGCACAGAGGGGAAGAATAAAGGGGGTGGGGGAGGTGAATCCTCTCACCTATGATGGAAGTTACTTGACCAGTGGTTGTAGGTCATAGTCAATTAATTTTGCTAGTGGCTGTGTGACGGAGTTGGTGCCTGACACAATAGGTTAAATGTCACAGGATTTATGCCCTTGTGTACCTTGTGTAAACTGTATATTACGGTCCATATCCATCCGTATTCATCGCCTGTCAAAAGACAAATGTTCAACCTACTCACCTCATGATATACCACTATATACT